ATATATTTTGTTGAAGATTAGCGACTTCAGGAGTTCTATCTACAATTGGTGAGATTTGCTTCTAGCTTCAGAAATCGCCAGTTTTTACTACACTTCTCCGAGGAAAAGTTAGCTCTTGACCCTTAGGTAAATAATGATGATGAAGAAACGTCTATTTAAATAATGAATGCCTGCATTCATGTGGAGCTTGTTTGGCTCAGACGCAGAACTGTCACTGCTGTTGAATCGTTTATTGACTTTTGAATAATACTAATAAATGGGACACCAAAAAATTTCCTGGTTCTAAGTAGCCAAATCATAAGTAATTTGAAAAACTATAAAAAACGAATACGACCGTGGAAGTATTTTATTAGCTCGTGTTTTTGAGATACATAGCAGTTTATCGATGTAAAGATAAATTGAAGATCATATATGTAATCTTTAATAAAACCAAATTACCCAAAGGAAAAAATAGTAGTAATAAGTTATATAACAAATTTTGATCAACTAGTAATAGAATCATGCAATAGTCTATTCGTATTAACGTTTCCTTTTGAACTGCATTTTACGAAACAATCGAGGGAACAACATCGAAGATAAAATTTGTTTTTCGAACACCTGCGGGATCAACAGCAACATTGATGCTGTTCATCACTACCTGCAATCCAATCGTCCCGCCGTGCTTTTCTTGGCGGAGACAAAAATCTCAGAGACTGCACCGATTAACCATCTCAACTTCCCAAACTACGAGGTGCACTCCAATCTGAGAAAGAACGGGGGAGTTGTGGCTTTTGTCCGCAGCAGTCTTTCCTGCTCCAGGGATCTTTCTTTGGAATCAGACCGGAAGGACATTCTGTGGCTTCGCCTCAGCTCCAAAACATCACCCAAATTTATTTGCTGCCTTTATCGCTCTCCCTCGAACCATAACTGGGATGACCTACTCGAATACCTCGCCGTCCAGATCGACTTCCTGAACATCAATCACCCCGCTTCAGAGGTAGTTCTTCTCGGTGATTTCAATGCCCATAATGAGCTTTGGTTGGGCTCAAATAAGACCGATGCAGCAGGTCGTGCAGTCGAAGCGTTCGCTCTTACTCAAGGGCTGACCCAGCTGGTCACGAGCCCTACTTTTTTCCCCCGCGTCTCGTCACACGCCAGTAGCCTGCTGGATCTCTTTCTGACCACGCATCCTGCCCCTTACAGCACTGCTGTCCTGTCCCCCCTGGGTAACTCAGATCACGGTGTTGTGGAGGTTAGGTTTCGGTCACAAGCCGCTGTGGCAGCAGAAACTCGCACAGGCCGCAAAACTTGGCATTACGGACATGCCGACTGGGAGGGGCTCAGAGACTTCTTCTCTAGCTTTCCTTGGAGAGATGTCTGTTTCACTGACGCGGATGCGTCGACTGTCTGTTCTTCAATAACCGAAATTATCCACGTCGGAATGGAGGAATACATCCCTCACACAGTGAAAGTTCCTAAACCAGGGTCCAACGGCTGGTTCAACAAATCGTGTGACACTGCTCGCCAGCAGAAGATCAAGGCCCACAGAACCTACTTACAAAACCCCACTGTAGAGAACAGACAAGCCGAAGTCGAGTCCAGAAACAAATATAACGAAGCGGTTCGCAATGCCAAACACCAGCATGATATAAAAGTTAGGCACAGGGTAATGTCGCAGCGCAATGGCAGTCGGTCTTTCTGGACGCTGGCCAAGCAGATTGAAAAGAACTTCTCACACAGTAGCCTTCCACCACTTACGTGTCAGGATGGAACTATTGTATTCGACTCGAAGGCCAAGGCGGAAGTGCTAGCCAAGATCTTTGCTGCCAACTCCACCATGGACGTCCCCACCAACGCCCAAGTGCCGTCAATTCAAAGGGTTCCCCACACTATGCGGGAGGTAACATTCAGGCATAAGACCGTAAGACGAGTGCTCTTGTCGCTCAACATCAACAAAGCTTCTGGTCCGGACTTGATTCCTGCCATTGTACTGAAGAGATGTGCAGCGGAGCTTGCTCCAGTTCTTTCGCGTCTCTTCCAGATATCTTATGAATCCGGCACCTTCCCAGAAAACTGGAAATTTGCTCATGTACAGCCCATCCCAAAAAAAGGATCTAAAACCGACCCTTATAACTACAAGCCTATAGCTCTGCTTTCTGTCATAAGTAAAGTGATGGAGAGGTGCATAAATCGCGAGCTTCTGGACTACCTCGAACGTCACAGCTTGATTAGCGACAGGCAGTACGGTTTCCGGCACCAACGATCCACAGGGGACCTCCTAGCTTACGTCACGCAACTGTGGAGTAAACTCATCCAGTCTCATGGTGAGGCTCATGTCGTTGCTCTTGACATCACGAAAGCGTTCGATCAGCTGTGGCACGCTGCCCTCTTAAGCAAACTTCCATCCTATGGCCTCCCAGAAAAGCTTTGCAGATGGGTGGCTGACTTTATCTCTGGCCGCAAGATATCCGTCGTAATTGACGGATTCTCCTCTTCATCCCACAACGTCAACGCGGGTGCTCCCCAGGGATCGGTCTTGGCTCCAACACTGTTTCTCTTACATATCAACGACCTCCCTTCCTGCACGATCAACCCAATCCACAGCTTCGCTGATGACAGCACTCTACATGCAGGAATTCAGAGTAACAAGCCGATCTCTGCCGCTGAGCTGGAAAAAAGAAGACTAGCGACGACTTCTTCTCTGACAAGAGACCTGGAGGCTATCACTGCTTGGAGACGCAAAAATCTTGTACAGTTCAATGCTTCCAAAACACAGTACTGTACTTTGACGAACAAAAAGCGTCCTAGCGCTCATACAGTTTCGATGGACGGTCGAGTTCTACCAAAGAGCCATTCATTTCGGCTGGTCGGAGTCCAGATCACCGAGGACCTGATCTGGCACGAACACATCTCTTCAATAGCTGCAGCTGCTGGGAAAAAGCTAGGCTATTTGTTTAGGGCTAAGAAGTACTTTTCTCCGCATGACATTCTCACTCTATACAAGGCCCAGATAAGGCCTAGCCTCGAGTATTGCTCACACATTTGGGGTGCTGCCGCCCCGACTACATTGTCCATGCTCGATGCTGTCCAGAGGAGGGCGGTCCGACTGATCGATGACTCTTCTCTAACAGACAGTCTCGGGACTCTTTCGCACCGGCGGGTCGTCGGCGATCTAGCTCTTTTCTATCGCTACACCAACGGGCTTTGCTCCTCAGAGCTTTCTTCCATGATGCCGCCGCGCGATGTGCCTGCCAGACAGACCCGCCTGACTTCGGCGTCCCATCCTAACCGTGTCAAACTTCGTACATCCAGAACTGGCCGATACGACCGCTCCTTTGTCCCGAGGGTGTCTAGATTGTGGAGCAATCCACGGGAGGAAGCTTTTCCCAGTTCTACTAACCTTAGGCAGTTCAAAAATCGTATCAACAGTATTTCTTTGGGATCATCATAGCAGCCGCGGTGTTCCGGCATTTAGGCTTCTGCCTGCGCGGCTGTTTCGATATAAAAAAAAAAAAAAAAATGAGGGATGTCTTTTAAGTCTTTCGTATAGAAACATAGTAGGCCGCGCGGATCGAACGTCAGTACTGAATCTGAACCTCACTCTTTAGTAAACTTAAATTCCAAGTTTCACAACAATACATGCAGTGTTCTCACTACAGTGAATTTTAAGGTGTCACCAAGTCACTAGAAAAATAGAACTCAACCGAGAACATTTTCTTGCCATAATTTATTACAACTTTCAGAGACGATTATCTCAACAAGAATGCCTTGCTGAGTTACTGTCTGTTTTCGGCAACAAAGCGCATCATCAGTCGACAATTTTCCGTTTTTATGGAGAATTCAAACGAGGACGGGTGAGTCTTAGCGACGATCCCAGGGTGGGTGCACCAAAAACGGCAGTCACCCAGTAAAACGTCGATGCTGTTCGCAAACACATCATTGACATGTGACATATTGCGAGATTGAGGCATCCTTGAAGATCTCAAAGACCTCAATTCAAAAAATTTTACATGAAGAATTAGGAGTAAGAAAACTAGTTTCTCGTTGGATACCCCACCTGTTGACTGAAGAGCAGAAAGCAGCCAGCGTTAATTGGTGTCAAAAAACGCTTGACCGTTTCAATTCCGGAATCTCCAAAAATGTGTACAGCATTGTTAGTGGTGAAGAATCGTGGATTTACTGTTATGAACCAGAAAATAAACGACAGTCGGCTGTTTGGGTGTTCCAAGGTGAAGAAAAGCCAACAAAAGTCATCCGTTCTCGAAGTGTTTCGAAAAAGGTGGTCGCGACATTTGTGTCAAAAGCGGGTCATATTGCAACAATTCCTCTTAATGAGCAAAGAACTGTTACTGCGGATTGGTATACCACCATTTGTTTGGTTGAATGTTTAGAGACGTATGGCATTAAATTTAGTCGTACCTTTGTTGTTCTTTCACCAACTGTTGGTAGTAGTCGTATGTTCATTTTCATAGAAATCGTCTTACCACGGCTTCAAAGGCTTTCCAGGCGGCTTTTTCTTTCCCCTCCAATTTTTTTTCAAATACGGGGTCCTATATTTAAAGGTACTGACTCGTAGTCGGTACAGATACCCTTGCTTCAGTCTTCATCCAAGAAAATCTGCCTTCTCCTTCCACAAGTCAAGGTCTCTCCTGGGATCCCTCAACTCTCTCTGTCTACGTATGACCTGCTGCCTCGAAATCTGAGTCACTGTAAGTTCCAGACCTAACGACTGCGCTTCTTCTTCTTGTTCTACTCCGGCATCATTTTTCTCGATTTCATAACTTTGATGTGATTTTGAGTGGTCAGGGGACGAATGGCTGATCGAACGCAGGGATACTCTACCACTGCTTACTTTCTTGTTGACCAACCTTGCTTCAAGAAGAGAATTAAGCAGAAATAACAATCGTCTACATGGATTGTTGACTCTCACATATTTTCAGCAACGTCCTAATTTAATTTCGAATTATCTTGGTTGGTTTCATCCAAGGCTTCATCATACACATTACGGCACCCTGTATAAGTGTCTCAATTGACAACGTTTTTGACACTGACTTGTTTGAAATAGAAAATAGCGAAGTTTCTCAGGAAGAGGGCACATAAATTCACCGTGGAGAGTACAAAAAGATGTAACAAAATTCATAGTACTATAGATCATGTCGGGATTATGCACACCATATGGATGTAAGATACCTCCAATAAAGTTTTTCAGTGGATCAAAATCTAGGCCGAGGAGACGAAAACGATCTAGATCCAGAAGATGCAAGACTAGAAGCAGATCTCGGAGTCGCTCAAAAAGTGGACGCCGGAGAAGGTCTAAAAGCAGATTTAGGTAAAAAATTAACTTCTCTCGTAATTCACTATAGTTAGATTTCATATTAGGGACGACCTGCGCTTTGTCGAACTTTTATTACTGCGAGAAAAATTTTAAAAGTTGCCGAAATATGCTTTGTAGTGCATGGAAAAGCGATTGAGGTACGGATGGCTAGCATATTTCGATTTTTTAATAGTCATGTTCTTTAATAAACAACAACTTGAGAGAAAGGAAAAATTGACGCTGACTGGATCCGAACGCGCATTTCCTCGATTCCGTGGAGCCCACCTAACCAATTAGTCTACAGCACAAGCTGTTAACCAACAGTCAGGATCGGCTGTTAGAGAAAAATTCAATCCTACCTACGTCACAGCTCCGTTACTAGGGATGTCTTTTAAGTTTTGCATATAGAAACATAGTAGGCCGCGCGGATCGAACGTCAGTACTGAATCTCAACCTCACACTTTAGTAAACTTAAATTCAAAGTTTCACAACAATACGTGCAGTGTTCTCACTACAGTGAATTTCTAAGTGTCACCAAGTCATTAGAAAAATGGTACTCAACCGAGAACATTTTCGCGACATAATTTATTACAACTTTCAGAGACAATTATCGCAACAAGAAGGCCTTGCTGAGGTACTGTCTGTTTTCGGCAACGAAGGCGCCACAACAGTCGACAATTTCCCGTTGGTATGGAGAATTCAAACGTGGACGGGTGGGTCTTAGCGACGATCCCAGGGTGGGTGCACCAAAAATGGCAGTCACCCAGGAAAACGTCGATGCTGTGCGCAAATTCAACATTGAAGATAGACATGTGACATATCGCGAGATTGAGGCGTCCTTGAAGATCTCAAAGACCTGAATTCAAAAAATTTTACATGAAGAATTAGGAGTAAGAAAATTAGTTTCTCGTTGGAGACCCCACCTGTTGACTGAAGAGCAGAAAGCAGCCAGGGTTAATTGGTGTCAAAAAAACGCTTGACCGTTTCAATTCCGGAAACTCAAAAAATGTGTACAGCATTGTTAGTGCTGACGAATCCTGGATTTACTGTTATGAACCAGAAAATAAACGACAGTCGGCTGTTTGAATGTTCCAAGGGGAAGAAAAGCCAACAAAAGTCATCCATTCTAGGTGTTTCGAAAAAGATGGTCACGACATTAGTGTCAAAAGCGGGTCATATTGCAACAATTCCTCTTAATGAGCAAAGAACTGTTACTGCGGATTGGTATACCACCATTTGTTTGCCAAAAGTCATTACCGAGCTTCGAAAAATCAACCCCGAAAGAAGAATCATCCTCCACCAAGACAATGCAAGCTCGCACACAGCCCAAGAAACAAGGCAGTATTTAACGGAAGAAAACGTGGAATTATTGGACCATCCTCCATATAGTCCCGATCTAAGTCCTACCGATTTCTTTACTTTCCCGAAAATTGAAAACAGACTGCCCAACTTACAATTATCACTCCTATTAGAGTTGCAAGAATGATTATACAGTATTCCTTACACAGCATTGTATACTGTAAGAACATTGGCAAAACCCTCTTAGAACAGCTATACAAGCGGAATGGGCACACCTAATAGGACACTTCAGTCATTTAAGAGGTTGTATAAGGGCTGCAGATAACAGTTATACAACAAAAGTGTAAGTCTCTTGCAGCCGCTATAGGACATTTGCAACAGTGCAAGATTCAGTTTTTGTCAACTATACAACTATTCTGTTACGTGATTCTACTTTATTGCAACCAAACTATTTCTTATGTATTGTATGGACGAAGTGAAGAATATATAACTAACACAATACATCTTGTTTACTTACATATCGGCCATTGTGAATTTTATACACAGGTATATGATAAACTTCTACACTGTGATATAGGGCTATTGAATTACTTGCGCAGCAAATTTTATTGTGATTATCGTGCAAAGTAGTTACGCAAATTCTACGGGCTTCGTATTTGATTCATATTTTGATAATGATCAAAAGTATGTCTAGATTTTTATGATGGAAAACTGAACTTATCTGCGTTAAATGTTCCACAAATCCTATATTTAGACACAATTACACTACTGTTTATCACTTTATATCTGCAATTTCGAACTGAAACATAATTATTTATTATATATATTTATCAAATAGGGGAATAAATGTTTGCCCAATATGGCGGATGGTTGTGTATAATCATGACATCGTCCATGTTGTCTTTAGTTTATTAGAATATTTTGGTGTTACCTGCAGGTGTTATACAACAATTTAACAAATGTCAGAAATGAAATACCGACAGAGTCGAATGATTTACCTAGAATATGTACCAGATTTTGGTGAAGTTGTATACCAACATATTTAGCATATGTACAGCCTTTAACAGTTACTAAACGACAGTTGTATAAGTGCTTCCGTTGGGAGCAATTTGTTGGCTGAAGTAGTAAATTTGCACAGCATAACAACAAGGCTCGGGTTTGTTTTATAAACGTTACCATGGATGCCACAACACAACCATTTTGACTAACCTGCAAATATGCCGTATAAAATAGTTGAATAAACGTTTATACAACATACAAAAATTTGTCCTATAAGGTGTTGTGTAACTATGCTATAAGAATATTTTAAACACCTCATTTTAGATGAAATATGTTGCAGAAAGCAAATTTGCATTCCACACGACATTAAGCCAGCATTTTGGTGTTCAGGCAACAACAATAGAGAGCTTTTATGGCTGAACGCTTCTTTTACCAAAAGCTTATAGCACTACTTTGCTAGTTGGGTGCTTGGTCAAAGGTTCCAGTCACCAGAAAAAGCAGTTGACGTATTCAAAAATGCCGTTTTGGATCTGCCAGCAAACGAGTGGAATAAGTGCTTCGAAAATTGGTTCGAGCGCATTCATCGTATACAAGTTATGTCTGCGTTTTGAGCTACTTAGTAGACATCGTTGAGAGTGAAACTTTAAATGTAAAATAAATACACTATTAGGCCCATTATTTAGTAAGCACGAATGATTTTAATGAGTGCATATTTTTGATTACTGATAACCGGATAGACTCAAACTCCATAGCTCCAAACATATTTTCTTTCTTGACATTTACCGTACAACTTAACATTTAAACCTAGCACATGTTAAAAAGTCCATTGATTGTCGTACCTCTGTACACATTTTGTCAGACTTCTTATACACTTCCTACGGCAATGCCAATCACCGATCAGAGAGTTTCGCGCTAACCTAGCAGTTTAGATGTGTTGTGATGGCATAGTCAAAACAATATCATTTATCAGGAAAAGGAAACTAGTAAAACTGGGAACTTCAGGTTCATCCGTACCTCATTCAATCCTTAAGGCACCACAAAGTATGTTTCAACAATTTCTGGAATTGTTCTCTTTGTAATTAAGATTCAATAAAACCCGAATTAAGCCCATTTTTGCACATTTTCGAGTTTCTGCTAATATCTTCTTCGTGGGGGCCAATTCTAGGATATGTTGATGATATGTTCATTATTGAAAGGCGCAGTCTTTTTAGTAGTATTGATTTTAGCATAAAATTTGTGTTTAATGAATATCCTAAAATAGAGATTTATGGGGTATCTTAAATGACTAAGATTAAGACCAACACAATCAAAGATAATTAACCCTGCACAAAATCAGAAGCAGTTTTCAATATTCAATTGAACCATTGTAACTTTTACATTTTTTTTTTAATCGCGAAAGCTTATCAAAAATGAGATGTTTTGGATGTTATATGAAGGTAGATTACGTCCGTCGACCTATTTTGCTGCCTATCCGCTAGTCTTATAACCGCCTATAGCTTTAGTACCGCTTGGATTTCGATGTTTACACAACGTTAGTACTATGCCAAGGACGGAGAAGTTTTGTAGTCTTTGAATATTGGTCCAGTGGCGACGGACCAAAAGGCTAAAAAATAAACATCGTTCAACCTTCGATTTTTGACGTCTTTGACCATTTTTTAAAAAAATTGTAGGGGTTTAAAATTCAGGACCGTCGCCAGGTCGCAACCTGGAGCGACTGGTTCTATGAACCTCTTGACGTGCTGGAACTGTCACTGTCGGTATAACTTCGCGCACGCAGGCTGTCTTTTTCTTCATCCTTTTCTTGATTTTGCCCTACGTCTCTCTTCTCGGATCGACTGGATTAGGAGTTTGGGGAAGTTAAATTTTCGGTTATCTTGTCCCATTGCCCTGGTTTGCCACTGTTCTCTATTCTTTCTACTCAGAATGTCCCTGGACTATGGTCTGCCATTTATCCTTTGGGTGGACCATTTCTTGTATCATCTTCCGGTGTTAATAGTACTCCGAGCTTGGGCCGGACTTCTGCTCTATATGCCTGCCACCTAGGACAGTGGAAAAGTTTGCTCCTCCATACAGGTTAAGCACTCATCATCAGTGATATACCCCATTCTTTTCCTGTAACTAGGGATGGTCCATGCCCAGTTAATGCCTGTATAAGATAGTAGTTCAATTAGCGGTGCTTGCACTCCGTCCAGATAGCTATCACTGGTATCAGCCGTTACGTCCACTGTGCCGTGTCTGTTGTTTGGTCCCACTCAGATCGCCACTCGGTCATCAGTCTTGCTTCCGCTTCAGTTTTATTCTCGGCTGGTGTCCTATCGCCTTGGTATACTTGTACCCTCTGTTTGGCTATCAAATGGAGGGGAGATATTGCGATACGCACTAGCCACCCTTAGCAGCGCCTTTCTCTGTGCGGCATCGAGCATTGCTTGATGTTTCTTGTACGTCAGGGCCTTCTGCCAAGCGGGTACTGCATACAGGATGATTGACTGCATCACCCGGTACAATACCTTCCGTCGCTCACTGCTTGGACCACGAGTTGGGCACTATCCGTGCTATTTTGGCCAAAACTTTGTTTGCCTTGTTGGTTACCCTCTGTATGTGCTGCGTGAAGGTCCTCTCTTTGTCTATTGTAACTCCTAGGTAGACTAGTGAGTTAGAAGGGACAACTTTAGTGCCTCAAAGCATGAAGCGAACCTGATCCCTGTTCTGTCTGGATCCTTTGACAATCACCGCCTCGGTCTTTGGAGCGGCCAGCTTCAGGTAGTGGCCTCTCATCCATCTGTTTTTTATCCCCAGAGCTTCGAATAAGCGTCTCTGGCCGGAGCTACAATGGCAGAGTGATCAGCAAAGCCAAATTGCTCTATGCCTGGGGGCATCCTCTGCCTTAAGACTCCATCATAGTTGGCCAAGAGACAAGCCTTGCGCTACCCCAGTCGTGATGTGGCATTCTTTGTCATCTACCACTATTCGTCTATCTTGGAAGTAGCTACTAAGTACGATGGAAATGTTTCGTCTTTCCATGATAACCTGCCAAGACGCTGTGTTGAATGAATTCTTTACGTCCAGCATGACTACGCAACACCATTTATCCCCAAGGTCGTTTACCGCTGCCATGACCGCTGCAACAGCTTGAGTTGTTGACCTCCCTTTCCTGAATCCGTATTGACGTTCGGACAGCATCTCGCCACTTTGGAGCTCCTCTTCCAGTCTACTACGTATGAGGGCTTCATACAATTTGTCTGCTGTATCTAAATGGCAAATTGGTCGATGCGATGGGTGGTTTTCCGGGCTTCACGAGGAGCACTAGCTTAGCCGTTTGCCAGCTGCTTGGAAACACTTGTTACCTGAGTAGATCGTTCAGCATATGGGGCATTCTGTCCGGGATGGTTTCCAGTGTTGCCTTGACCGCCTCTGGGGGGGAAACCGCCTGGGTCTTCTGCTTTCCCGTTCTTGAGTTTACCCCCAGCCATGAACATTTCCTCCATTGTAAATGGTGAGACCTCCTCCACGACCTGGTGTGTTGTCCATGTGTCGTTTTGGACTGGGAAAAGGTGCTCTACAACGAAGTGTTTCATCTCTTTCGTTAGTGTAGTCTGGCGTCCGTTCTATTAGATTGCGAGTCATTATTTCATAGCCCTTTCCTCAGACGGCTGCCTCTAGTTCTTCGCATACCTCGGCCCAGCATCTTCTCTTTCAGATTAGCATCAGGTTGCATAGCTCTTTTCTCTTATTAGAATATTCTTCCTGTAGGCTCACTAGTCTTGGTTCATCTTGTCCGGATCTCCCTCTAGCTCATGTGAGATGCCTTCTGGCGCTTAAGCAACTAGCTCTCACGGTTCGTATTTCATCCGTCCATCAACATGGGGTCCTATCATTTCTCTGTTCTGGTACTCCACAAGCTGCTTGTGGGCTCCTCGTCATCGGGGTTAGAGGTGGGCTAGGGCATTTCTCAATTTTTGAGATACTAGTAGGCTTATACGCCTCGAACCCCAGTAATTTTACGCAAATATTAAGCCATTTCACTGATCATCGATGTCCCTCGGTCACCTTTAAAATTTGATAATTCATCTTATCTTCGAGTAGCTTTCTTTCCTATATTATTCGAACTGCAGGATCACTTTCTCATGAATGGCTCACCTTTCAGGGAAGACCTCTCAATATCATCTTCAAATGTGTCATATTAAATAACAAGAAAATTATTCCAAATTAGGAAAAAAGAAGCATTTGATTTTGTTTGAACTTGAACTGTTGGATGGAGCTCTTGTTACACTACCCTGTCCAACTAGGTGCCGCAGACGCAGACAAAAAAGTAGAAGCAGATCCAGAAGGCGCAAGAGTAGACGTAGATCTCGAAGGAGTAGAAGAAGCAAGAGTAGATCCAGATGTAGAAGACGAAGTCGAAGAACTTCATCTCGGAGAATAAGGAAATTAAGCAGAAGAAGAAGTTGCGGTTCAGGAAGAAGACTGAAGAGCAGACGTAGAAGGCGAAGGAAGTCCAGGACAGGCATCAATGCCAGCAGCAGACTTAAGAGTGCAGCACGAGCTATTCAGCGTCTATCTCATTTAGAAGGAAAGAAATGTAGTAGGCTTGGGCCTACGACCACCAATCCCTTCCTCAATTTCCTGAGGCTGTACAGGAGAACCAAGACTGGATGGACAATGACCAGGGTATGTATACACACGGCCGCAAGAATACTTGTTAGCACCATTGGTCATAATGATCCTCATAATCTGTGGTCATTGTCATGGTTAACTAGTCTACCTACTAAAACTGGTAGCTAAATACCAATCAGAAAAAAGAATAAAGAAGCAGTGGGGTTAGAATGGGTTAGAAGAAGCCAAGCGTAAATCTTTACATTCCATTGTTTGTCGCCAAAATTGTGTAGTTTAAGGGTCGTATTATCAGTCGTTCCTACAATTGTAGGACGCCTTTATGGCCTTCTTGATTTTCGTATACTTTTGTCTCCTTCGGAAAGACTGGAGTAGTTCTAGATTTCCGTGACAGCGCCAGCGCTGTTCTACGGTTAGGCTATGTTTTCTTTTTGAATGTAGGAAATTTCAGGCTGAATAACAGATGATTTCAATCAAAAGAATGAACAATTTGGTGCAAACAGATACTTGAAAAATAATCTTAAAATAGAATACTGACATGGAACAGCAGGAAACTATGGAGCTCATAAAGGTACAGTTGTAGAAACGACTGACGGTACAACCTTAAGTGTATACTTTTGGCCAATTTGCCTTCTAAAGTGACAAAACCAATACATCGGAGTACATTCTTTTAATTGGAAAGTATGTTCAAATAGCTATTAGTAGTGGGTGTACCCTCGTAGAGCAAGGCTGAAATACCACGCTGTGAATCGCTCAGTTCTGTAGTTAATAGATATGGAAAAAATAATGCAAATAAACAAAAACACGTATTTATTAACAGTATAACATATGAACAATTCTGCCTGTTTCGTGATTTTGGAAGGTGAAAAATACGAAACATACTCTCCACCCAAACAGCAGCAATCGTAGAATTCTTGATACTGGACATAGTTGGACACTTTGCGTGAACCCTACTAAGTTTTTCTAAGTAGGTGATCCAGTCTAAAAGCATATACCAAGTTGAGTATAATATGGAAATTCCTGCTATTATATTTTCGATTTTTATTTATTGACTTATTTATTGCTCATATATGACAAGTCATATGATACAGAACCTATAGAATAAAGGAAAGTCAAACATTTACAATGAAAAAAACGAGTGCACATGAGACATGAATCACAAACAAGTACAACAACTAAACATTTTTATTTTAAAATATCTCATAGAAACATTGATCGAGAAGGACTCACTTCATTATTTTTTTTTTTGAATTGCACACAATTTACCTTGCGGATGGTCTGAGGTAATTTGTTGTAAGAAATCAGATTTAATGAATTTCTCGCAGATATATCTAGACTATAACATGGGAGTCTTGTATCATGGTTATGGATTTCTGATTGGATCGTGTAGCAATTCTAGACTTAATGAATATTGAAATAAGATTGAAAACTCCGCATCTCATAGTTAACGATAACGTGTAAAAACAACATATTGAATCGACGTGGAGTTGTGTATGTGTAACGTGTTCTCGTTGCTCTCTGTTTTAACCTTCATTTACTAGTGGTTTTTGCCAAGTGAAAAATATATTCTTTTGTGAGGTGAAGCAGCTCATGCACCTTTTGATGTTGGTGAGTTTGTAACATCAGCAACTGTACCGTTTTTGTAGAAATCATGGCAAATAATAATTGATCGATCAAACGAACTTACCTGAAGTGAAGTTCGATCGTAATTATACGAGGGTCCAGTCCGAAGACATCACTTTGTTTATTCACTATGTAGTCCGCCCCTGGAGTACGATCCGCGCACCAAGTTGAAAGACGAGAATCCCCACCTCCTCGCCGCGCCCTGGCCACTCGCGTTGAATCATTTGTTTAAAGAAATGGTACTTGCTCGCAACTTGGGAGGGTTGCATATAGGGTGGGGGTGATGTCTTCGGACTGGACCCTCGTATAATTACGATCGAACTTCACTTCAGGTAAGTTCGTTTGATCGATCAATTATACTTTGGGTCCAGTCCGAAGACATCACTTTGTTTATTCACTATGTAGATGTTTAAAGATGAGATAGAGTTGCGAGCGAGTTGATGATATAAGAAATACAAGTATACAAACACAAAAAGGCAAAAACATATATTCTGCATTCTCATAAACAAAAGCAAAAAACAAGGGGTCAATTTTTAACATTTACCCTAATAGTAATATTTTTTCAAAAAACAACTAGAGTACCTAAAGTACGTCACAAACTCTTAAACTGTTCTAACTAATCAGGCATTTATGTCCAAAATGGCATTTGCAAACTCATTGTTGGTTTGTAAAGGACGATTATAAAACTTTGCAAATGTGGAATGTTGCGTCCAACCAACTGTTTTACATATACTATCTACGGAAACGCCTTTTCTTAACGCCGTTGAGGTAGCCGCATGCCTGACTGAATGAGGCGTAAAAAGTGTTGTGTTGACACCCGCCGATGCAAGAGTCTGTTTTACCCATCTGCTTAAAGTGTCTTTGGACGCCCTGGTATGTGGTTTTTTATATGTCACGAATAGAAAATCGTTGTCGGGTTCTCTCAAGCTATCTGTTCTGTCAATATATTCCTTCAGGATGGTGGCTACGCACAGGAAAGGGTTTTGTTGAAAAACCGGTATATGCAAGGTTGGTTGAGGTTTCCCAATTCGACTGGTTTTAATTGGGTCTGAAATATTAATGGTAGTTTCGCTGGGACCATGGGAGGTATGTGAAAGACGAATAAGAGAAATTGTCTGGAGTCTTTCTCCTGTTATTAGAGCTAATAACGTTGTCAATTTTTGTGACAGACTTTGGAGGCTAAGTGGAGATGGTAACTTTTCTAGATAACTTAGGAGAGGTATAGGATCCCAGGTGGCCGAATATTTTGGCCGAGAAGGCCGTAAACGATGAATGCCTTTTTTGAAGCGTCTAATTATAAGATTGGATGCTAAATCAGTTGAGCAAATTAGTGAAAGAGCAGATGTATGAGAATTAAAAGTGCCAGACGTGAGGTTTTTCTTCTTTGTCAACTCTTGCAAGAATGACACCACGTCTTTGATTGTGGGTTTAAAGATCGAAATGTCATTACTAAAGCAAAATTCCCACCACAATTTGTAGGAGCTGTTATATTGCTGCAATGTGGATCTGGAGACTGAGGCGATGATTGTAGAAATAGCAGATTCCGGCACCTCTCTACTCAAAAACGCTTGCCTGATAACTTCGCTGCTACCAGGGTAAGGGTTTTCGACAGCGGATGTGACCTGGAAACCGCACAAGATAGTAAATCAGGTGAAGGGGGAAAATGAATTTCTTGGTCGATCAATAACTGACGGAAAAGTGGGTACCAAGGTTGTGAAGGCCACCAAGGAACCACCAAAATTCCGACAGCCTTATCCTGAATTATTTTTTGTAAAACTCGGAGAATTAAGGTAAAAGGGGGGAATGCATAAAAATAAAAACTGTTCCAGCGAATTGTAAACGCATCGATATATGTAGATCCTGGATCTCTATGCCAGGAAGCGTATACCTCGCATTTCGCATTGGTATGAGAGGCAAAAAAATCGATCTCTGGTTTTCCGAAGATGTCGGTTAAATGGTCGAAGGCAGTTTGAGATAATGACCATTCCGTTTCAAAATTCAAGCTCCTGGACTCATCGTCTGCTATAGCGTTATCTTTAGATGGGATGTATGATGCAAAAAACCAGAGATTTCTTTCCTCACACCATTGCCAAATTTGTTTAGCCAGAGAACATAGCTCTGGAAACCGAACACTCCCCATTCTGTTAATGTAAGAAACGGCTGTTGTATTGTCGCATCGAATTAGAATATTGCAATTTTTTAAAAGTTTTGCATAACACTGGATGCCGTAAAATATAGCCCATAATTCCAAATTATTTATATGCAATAGTTTTTGGGAGTCGGACCAGAAACCGTGGGTTCTATCCTGGCCAGAGCAAGCCCCCCATCCTGTTAGCGATGCGTCGGTAAAGATGGTGATATGAAAGGAATCATACCTTATGTCATTGAAAGCTGTTGAAATGTGATCTTTCCACCATGAAATATCGCTCTTTATGTTTTCAGGAATAGCCATACTTGCGTTATAATTTCCATTGTTTTTCTCTAAAGCTAAGAATTTTTCCCTTTCTAGAGATTTGCAATAAAGAAACCCGTATTTCACACCAGGACAAGCCGACACCAAGGTGCCAATGAACCTTGCCCAGTCGCGAATTCTACATCTCGATTGGTTCAAATAATATGAGGCTAACCTGAGGATGTGATTTTTCTTTTCGGCAGGAAGTTCAATTGTTAAATTAACACTATCTATCAGAAAGCCGAGGAATCTTATACGAGTAGTGGGTACCAGAATGCTTTTGCTGTTATTGATGATAAGACCCAATGAGCTTAAAAACCGAATGGTTGTGCTAACATTATTAAGGCAGGATTCATAGGAAACTCCAAAGATTAGAAAATCGTCTAAATAATTGACTGTAGAGATGCCTAAATTGCGGAGAAAAAGAGACGACTGGCTTCATAAGCTTTGTGAAACATAACGGAGCTGTACATAACCCAAACGGTAGGCAAGTGAATTGATACAATTGGCCATCAAAGTAGAATTTTAGAAATTGTTGATGGTCGCTGTGGACAGGTACTAAAAAATACGCATCTCTCAAGTCGATTGTGCACATGTACACGTTTTTATGAGTCAATTTTATAGCCGTACGAAGGTCCTCCATTTTGAAATGCGGGCATTCCACATATTCATTTAACTGTTTCAGGTTTAATATAAATCTTTTTCCCCCGTTGGATTTATCTGCAAGAAAATATGGAGAGATAAATTGATCGGGCCTTGACTCAGATTTGATTATGGCCCCGGACTTCTGCAAGTCGCGTATAGCTACTCGAACTAGCGATGTTTCTGTCGAAGAAAAATTATTTGTGCCCAAAGGTTGACGTAATGGAGGTGTGCATTTAAAGGGAATCCGGTAACCTTGAATCCAGGATAAGACTATCGGATTTGAAGTTAGTTTTGACCAAGAGTTGAGGTAAAATTGTAGCCGACCAGCAAATAGAACTTGTTTTACCTTCAACGTTTTCTGGACTGCTGTTGTCTGTTCGGAGCAAACTGTTTTGAGGAATTGCCCTTGTGCTGCCTCACCTCCCTCTTGCGGTAAGACGGGCGATACCTGTTTAAAGCGCCTACATTCTTTGACGAGTTGCCTCCCCCCCCTCTTCTTTCAGGATTACTGAAAGACCGAGTCACTTGAGAGCTACTGCGTGAGGGGATAGAGGACAAACGTAGGTCCTGTCCGGCCTTCTCCAAAGATTTCAAATTTTTCGCCCGCTCACCTAAATCTGGCCCGAATAAGAACTCCCCTGGTAAGGTGTTTTCAGTCAGTTCTTTAACTGATTTGTTGAGTACTGGGCTGATCAGGTACTTTCTAGTTTTAGAGATGTCGTGAAAGAGTGCCGCCAAGATTCGCGCAGAATCTGTCAAATTCGATAAAATCTTTTCCTTGATATCCTTGGGAATCTGGGTTTCTTCTTCCAAAATGACGTTAAAAGCTTTCCCCATGGCGGTCAGTCCGGTACCAATGTTCAATTGGTACCCGGAATGGGTGGCATCTCTCGTTAAATGAGTAGAAGAGAGAATGGCTTTCACTTCGGGGTTTATCTTCGGAGGGTGTAACGAGGCACAGTTAGAAGGCACAATGTGTTTTTCTCTAATGATGGTGGTGTCCTCGGTGGAAAGTCCGTTGGCCAAAATGTGGGACCATCGAGAAGCTAAGGCACCGTGTAGTTGGAAGTTAGACCTATTGGCTTTTTTAGGATCTACACCCAGGATATTTAATATGTCTTCCGATAATGGGAGACACTCACCTTCACTAAGCATCAAAACATCCTCCATATCATTTTTCTCAGTTGATACCGTTCCCAAGTCCGGCCCTGTCAGAATCTGAGCTTCCGCCTCGCACGGAGAACGGCCAGCCGAGTCTACCTGACGCTGTACCTTATCAGATGGGCTGCCTGAGTTTTTCTCTTGACGCAAATATTCCCGTCTCTCTCTACGTCGCCTCGACACGCTCGGTGATCGACTGCGACTGTTACTACTCCTAGAACGTGACCTTGAACGCCTACGGCTGATGCGAGAGCGGGAGCGTCTAAAATGATGAGGTGAATTGGTACGAGACATGGATCTGCTGTGTCGACTCTTTCGGGATAAACTTCTCGAATTAGTGCGAGAACGATAACCACCTGACCTTGCCTCGAGCTCCTCCTGTAAAATGGCCCGAATCATGTCTCTCAAGGAGCTGGGTGAATTGGCCTCCGAAATTCCTGATTTTTCCATGGTTTCTGTTAAACAAGTATAACCATTGGTTAACGTATTCAATCTGGTTGAATACGCCAATCAATTATGTAACAGACTGCTAAGTGGTATCAAAAAGAATAGCCTTGTTGTGAACTTACCTACCTACTCACTGAGCACTATGTACCGAAAAGAGAAATCGCACGCGTTTTCTGAACTGAAGCAGGCCGGGCGACTGCACGGATCGCGCACCAAAAAGCGAATGATTCAACGCGAGTGGCCAGGGCGCGGCGAGGAGGTGGGGATTCTCGTCTTTCAACTTGGTGCGCGGATCGTACTCCAGGGGCGGACTACATAGTGAATAAACAAAGTGATGTCTTCGGACTGGACCCAAAGTATAATTGTCCTGATTACAATACAGCGATAGGACGAACCGAACAAGCTATTTCTTGCAATGGTTTTTGTGGGAAAAATTACCATATTTCTTGTGCTGATGTGTCAGCTGACGTACTGAAAGTGCTAAAAACGCCTGGTCTTTTTTGGTACTGTCCCAATTGTAGCCAAAATAAAAAAGATTATGAGAATTTCATGAAGAATATACTAGAAGCCAAAGTGGAGGAACTTATAAATGGGATTCGTGACATATTTTCCGAGGCACGATCTACACTCATAAGCAAGGTTCAAGAAGACGTGGAACATACCACCCGTCAGGCGGTTCCGTCTTATGCATCAGTTGTTAAAAAGAATGTTAATGTTATCATCAAGCCGAAGAATACTAATCAATCGAATATTGAAACGAGAAATATTATTCGTCAAAATGTTAAGCCATTTGAAAACGATATAAAATTTTCTCAAGTGAAAAATGTGAGGAACGGGGGCTTGATAATAGAATGCGACGATCCTGATCATGCAAGTAAATTGAAGGAGCTGGCTTCTCGGCATTTATCTGAAGACGAATATGAGGTCAAGGAAGTAAAGAAACACAACCCGCGCGTGAGGATCGTAGGGTTGTCCGATAATATCGATAACGACAGATTAGTCACTGTATTGAAATCCCAAAACCGTATCCTTGATAAATCAAGTGACTTTAGGGTTCTTAAGGTGTGGCCGACAAAAAAACGTCAGGATGTTCACCAGGCTCTTTTGGAATTGGATCCTGTCGCGTATTCGGGCCTGTTAGATCAAGGTAGTGTTCTAGTGAATGTTGATAACTGCGTTGTGTATGATGCATTGAATTTGAAAATCTGCTACAAGTGTTGTGGACTAGGTCATTATGTAAAAGACTGTAGGAAATCTGATCAAGTTTGTATTAAGTGTGCCGGTGGTCATAAGGTTTCTGAATGTAGTTCTAATCAGCTAAAATGTGTAAATTGTGAATCTGCTAAAAATACTAATGTTGATCATGCTGTTTGGGATACAGATAAGTGCTGCTATTATAAATTGAAGTTAAATGAATATAAAAAGCTACTTCTGGGTACGGAATAGCAATCAAGCAATGTCATTGGAAACACTGTTATGGACGATTCTGATCATGAAGCGGACTTTGCAGTATATTATCAGAATGTTAGGGGTTTAAGAACAAAAACAAATGTACTTCTGAATACAACTTATACGTGTACGCATGATATACTTGCTCTGAGTGAGACTTGGCTGGACGACAGTATTTATGATGCTGAACTTATTTGCCCAGAGTATAATGTTTTTAGATGCGATCGAGACTTTGAAACTACTGATGCCATCAGAGGTGGAGGTGTGCTATTGGCCACCCGGAAGGCGTATAAAGTGAAACGTCTGGATTTCAACTTTACAAACTCTCTTTCTGCAATTGATATCGTTGGGGTCAAGGTCCACTTGCCTCGGTCAGTCGTTTCCATTGTCCTTCTTTATGTGCCACCTAACTTGTCAGTTGCTACATATGAATCTCTGATAGAACGACTGTTTTCGTTGGACTTTCTCAACACTGACAATGTTATTTTCCTAGGTGATTTCAATATACCGTCATACATTAATTACATCAAGGATAACAATTACAGCAACACCTATATATCGGCACTCAATAATCTGATCAATTTTCTGAATATGTCTCAACACAACTTTGTCCAAAACTCAAACAACCGGATTCTAGATTTAGTATTCAGTAAAAATGCATTGAAGGTGAACTCGGCGTCAGATATTTTGCTTCCAGTTGATAGCTATCATCCCCCGCTTGATATATTTTTTTCTATGGAAGATAAATTCGACAAATTTGACTTTAATGCAAGTCCTGAGTACAATTATAGAAGAGCTAACATGCATACATTATATAACGATATCGCTGCTCTAGACTTCACTCCTCTATATTCCCTTGGTAGCATCACCGAAGCGTGTGACCAGTTCTATGAAATACTATTCTCGGCAATCAATCGGAATGTACCCCGAACCCTGCCAAAGAACACTTCTTACCCTGCTTGGTTCAACAATACTATTATTTCTAAAATCAAGAAAAAGCGAAGGCTATGGAAACGGTGTAAAAGAACTTGTAATCCTGTTGACTGCGACGCTTTTCGGAATCTTCGAAGAAACATAAAAATTAGCATTGATATTGCATTTCAAAGATATACCGCTAAAATTGAACAGGGCATAGCTACTAACCCTCAAAGATTTTGGTGTTTTACTGATTCTTTGAGAAATACTTCTCATATCCCTGATACCACGATGTTTGATAAAACTCAACTTAACGAACCGCAAGATATTGTCAACGCTTTTGCAGAATTTTTCAAGTCCACATACTCACCTTCCACAAACTTTGCACCCGCAGACTCACTTGACTGCGCCTCATTACCGTTGAATATACCAATGATTACTGAAAAACAGGTTGTTGCCGCTTTGAAAAAGATTAAACCCAAGGTATCTTTCACTCCAGACCTAATACCTGCATGTTTACTGAAAGACTGTGCTTTTGTTTTAGCTGAACCTTTAGCTTATCTGTATAACATATCTCTTAATACTACAACATTTCCCATGGCTTGGAAAACATCTAGGATTGCTCCCATATTTAAAAAAGGCGAATGTTGTGTCATTGAGAATTATAGAGCTGTTGTGATTATAAGCAACGTCGGTAAGGTTTTCGAATGTATACTGCATGATATAATTTTCTCCCATGTTAAGCGCGAAATTTCTCCAAATCAACATGGTTTTTTCCAAGGCAGATCTACTTTAACTAATCTAGCGTGTTTTAAACAGTTTTGCTCTGAAGTTGTTGATGAAGGGGGGCAAGTAGATGTTGCTTATGTTGACTTTTCGAAGGCTTTTGATAAGCTAGATCACGGTATTTTGTTAAAGAAATTAGCTGCACGAGGGTTGACCCATCAATTCTTGAAGTTTTTCAAATCTTATCTTACAAACAGATGCCTGAAAGTCGAATACAGGGGCTTCACCTCCACTCAGATTATACCTTCTTCTGGCATACCTCAAGGGTCTGCTCTTGGCCCTCTGCTTTTCCAAATTTTCATTGATGACGTCGTTAGGGAGCTACACAGTAGCTGCCTTCTATATGCAGATGACTTGAAGATTTTTTGTAGGGTTGAAACCATGGACGACTGTAATATATTGCAAAACGACTTGAGCAACTTAAATAAGTGGTGTCACCGTAACAAGCTTTACCTTAATGCTGATAAATGCTACACTATGTCTATTACGCGCAAACTTGTTCCAATCAGATTCGTATATTACACTGACAATTCGCAACTTAACATGTGTGAAGAGTTTCATGACTTAGGTATATGCTTTGATACCAAACTTACATTTGTTTCGCATATTGATGCTGTTGTTAGCCAGGCCTATAAAAGTTTGGGCTTCATTATCAGAAATTGTAGGCATTTCAATAATGTTCATACCATGATCTCGTTATATAATTCATTTGTTCGATCCAAAATTGAATACTGCTCTATAATATGGTATCCTGTTCATGAAGTTCACTCGAATAAAATTGAACGTATTCAGAGGCGGTTTGTGAAATATTTATGGCACAAGGAAGATGGTACGTATCCAGAAGTTGGCTTCAGGCATGATATATTACCTAGCCGATATAACCTCTGTAACTTGGAGAAGCGCAGAAACTACGCTGCTTGTGTATTTGTATATAAAATGCTTAATAATGCCATAGATTGTGAATATTTACTTGGTAAGATTCTTATTCATGTACCTAATGCTAAGACGCGATCCAATTCAAAATACTTTTACTTAAACGTAGCTAGAACCAATGCGTTGCTTTCATCTCCGAAATATGTAGTATGTAACAACTATGAACGTGCAAGAAACGCAGTAGATTTGTTCTTTTGTAATTTGCGTAGCTTAAAAAGATTTTACATAACAGTAGGTTAAGTCATTTGGCAATTTTAAGTTATTTTTGAACAATTTTGTCTTAAAATTGATTCCTGTGTTCCTATCCGTTAAATGGTGTAATAAACCGTTCGGATAGTGTATATACTAGTAAATAAATAAATAAATATTGGCAAATGTATTCAAAGTGCTTACTTTTTCTTAAAACTTTTGTATTCCCATAGAACCTATCTTACATGTAAAACTAAAATATTGCTTTGTACATCACTGATCTTATCACATTTATCATACGCTAGTTCTTGTTAACTCCCCTTGAAACACTTGCTCGAATACAGCGATTTCAGAACACTTGTATACGTTTTATCTTCGGTATACCCAAATATGAGAGAGTTAGCCATACATTAAAACCCTTCCATTCGCTAAATATGATACACCATTTCGAGGTAGTTACATTATGCTTCTACCATAAAATTCTGTCCACGAAGAATCTGCCTTACTAATAAAATAAAGTTGCAAAGATAGTAATTTGGCTCTGTCACACAAAACGTCTTTATACCAAAAAGCTTCAAACATAATATACTAAGTGACATATAAATCCGAGCACCCAGTTTAAATGGTTTTATTTTAATAAAATTTTGTATAAGTACTTAATGAAGCATAATAAGTAAATGATAAAAATTTCAAAATGATTGCACTGCTTTAAAGCCCTTTGACCTTTAATAATGTGTTAATGCACCTTGATGTGCTACTTATTCTCCAACGCACCTAGGCATGCTTCTGATCAGGTGGTCAATGTCCTCCTGTGGTATCTCATTCCAGGCAACCACCAACTCCTCTCGAAGTGCTTCTAGAGTCTGAGGAGGACGTTGCAAATTGAGCAATCTCCTACCCATCATATCCCACACGTGCTCAATTGGGGATAAGTCGAGAGATCTTGGTGGCCATGGTAACAATGTGACATCATTATGTTGAAAGAAGTCTATTGTGACTCTTGCAACATGTGGTCGGGCATTATCTTGTTGGAAAGTTGGATCTGCCAGGGTGTCAAGATAGGGTAAAAGATGGGGTTCTAGAACTTCGTGGATATAACGCTGCGCGTTCATGTTACCTCTGATGAAGATTAAAGGTGACCTGGAACCATAAGCTATAGCACCCCAAACCATAACTCCAACAGTGTGATGAACATGTCTTTCAACAAAAAACTGTGGATTCCTCCTTTCACCACGTCGCCTTCTAACCCTGGCACGACCATCGTGCATACCTAAACAAAATCGAGACTCGTCAATAAAGACAATACTATTCCATTCCTGATCCTGAGTGACCGTTGTCTGCACCACTCAAGGCGATTACGTCGGTGTTCTCGAGTTAAAGGGAGGACCCAGTGTGGCCGATATGAAAACAAGCCAAAACTTCTCATTCGTCGATAAACACTTCGCATGCCAATAGGTCTTCCGTGTTCTGCAAACCATTCATTTGCAATGGACCTGGTAGTGGAGAAACGGTCCCTTAAGGCCAATAATCTTAGGCGGCGATCTTCACGGTCTGTTGTTCTACGGCGGCGTGCAGTGCCCCTTGCTCTTAGCGTACGGCCTTCTCGAAGCCATGCCTGGGGACCGCGGTTGGCCGCGTGGGTCAGAGTGTCGTGCTACTGATCAGCCGGCCGGCCGGGTCGCGAGTTCGAATCTCGCCTTCGCCATGGATGTTGTGACGTCGTGTGTTTGTACATAATTAGATATATTCTATACAACCTAGTTTCTGGCTGCATGGCTTAGTCCTAAAGCCAAAAAAAAAAAAAAAAAAAAAAAAAGCCATGCCTGACAACACCTAACCACAGTGTCTACACTTCTTTGCACTCTAACTGCAATTGCCCGAAAAGAAAGTCCAGCTTCCCGAAGTCCCACTATACGGCCCCTATCAAACTCACTAAGTTGACGAAATCGTACAGGTATCCGTACTCTAGGCATCGTAATCGATCGTAAAGGATGTCAAGAACCAAAATCCGCCAACGTTGATTCTTTACTGTGGCTGAAATATTCATTTTTACAGCGTTAGTGAATTAAAAAAAAAACAGTATAAAAACCGGAATGTCCAACTGATAAGGCTGAAAATTTTGTCACTTGTTATTTACAGTAAGATAAATACATTCACCAACTTTTATTAAAATAAAACCATTTAAACTGGGTGTTCGGATTTATATGTCACTTAGTATATATACCTATATGGTATTTTTAACGCACGCACAACGTCAGATGATCCTCGCCAAATCACGTCGTCAAACATCAGACGCGAGCGAAATATGTAAAAATATGCATTTAAAAGACTTTCGTTCTAGAGATACGTTGTAATTGTCGCAATACGAATAAAACTGCGTTGAAAGTTTTTTTGCATAAAGACTATGCATGAGCCCTCCCATTTGAGAATACCGAGATTGTGTACTGACAGAATCGTCTTTTGAGTTTTGTTTCTATTAAGTTTGAACAGTTTGCCACGAACCATCTTTCTACTTTGATTTTTCTTTGCAATGAGTTGTATTATATTTATCCAATATAAAAAGATTTGGAAGTATTTTAATGAATTTTATATTCATAGTTTATTTGGCCACACTGTGCTTCTTCCATTGAATCTCGAAAATACCTTTGTTGAGAACCTTTAGATTCAAAAGTAAAGTAAATGAAGTTAGATTTAGTTTAGTTTAAGTTTCGGTTGGCCCTTTTCAGTATTCGGTGTGTCTCTGATATTATGCATTTTTCAGTTTTATTGTCTAAAGAAACCTTAGATTAGAACCCAAGAAGTGAAATGAAATGAATCAAAATTACGTCACAACTATCAATATAGACCAATGCTGAGCTACATGCCCTTTCGCAACGCCGATGTCTATAATATACCGGGGGTCTGCGAAAGGTTGGGAAATCTCGAAAATGGAGATACTACAGACCAAAATATGTGTATTGACCTGAGCATACCTCAGTCCAAAAAGTTGATAGTTTTCGAGATACAGTGTGTCAAAGTTATAATTGTATTTTTTATTTTTCCTTATTGCTTGAGAAGTATTTCACATTTAGGCATAAAACTCGGTATAAGGATGTTTTCTAGTATGAGAAACAAGAATCCGTTACTACAGCACCATTTCGGTAAATACATTATCATTACTTTTTTGTGCTACCCTGTATACAACAACTGACTGAAAAATCTTATTTTCTCGTATTTCCACAACAAAAAGGGTTCATTTGTGAGAAGTGTCTAATGCTAATATTTTTTGAGATATTTGTTCAATGCATTATTTCCATCATGGTGATAGAACATTTTTATAACATAATAATCAAGTTGCTTTGGATAATATCCGAGTACCTTGCTATGATTTCTAATGTTTATCATAATATTGCGTTAAACTTCATGAATAATTTTAAGTTGACAATAACTTGTTAAACGTCATGGAGTTTGATGAATATTCTGATATGCATTTAATGTACGGATTGGCAAGATGTAATGCTTTAAAAGCACAAAGATTGTACGCTGAAAGATTCCCTAATAGACACCTGCCTAATTCAAAGACTTTCCAGCGAATTGATCAGCGGTTACAAGAAACTGATAAGAAATGATCATAGCCTTATTTTGAGTAGTAAAAACCATTTGGATTTTATATAGTTTTACTCAAAATATGGGCCGACATAATGGAGCTCCCAGAACTGTACGTACAGCTGAAGTTGAAGATGATGTTTTAGATGCTGTCTTTGAAACTAATACAGTTGGGGTTAGGAATGTAGCTCGAGAATTTTAAGTTTCCAAATGTACAGTAAATGCCATTTTTCAGCAGCAAGTATTCCATCCATAGCACCTGCAAAGAGTACATGGTTTAAGAGCGGATGATGACAACAGAAATTTGTACATTGCTCTTAAGGAAGTTTAACCACGACAATGGGTTTACTTCGTTAATATTATTTTTCTACGAAGCAGGATTTAGAAGAGATGGGCCCATTAACTCGCAAAATTTTCATATTTATGCAGATGAAAATCCTCATGCAATAATACAAACCCGCCACCAAGTACAATTTTAGATTAATTTATGGGCAGGAATAATTGGACAATGTTTAATAGGACCCATTGAGTTACCACCTAGACTAAATGGCCAAAGGTATTTACAGTTTCCTGAAGAACCCACTCTGCTGGAAGGTATTCCATTACAAACATGCATGAATATGAGTTTTGTGTACGATGGAGCTCCACCTCATTTGCGTACATTACTCGTAGTTAGAGAGCATTCAAATAGAGTTTATCCAGACGAGTGAATAGGCGCATTAGGACCTGTATCGTGGCTGGCTAGATTACCAGATTTGAATCCTATCGATTTCTTTCTCTGGGGTGATTTAAAGCAACGCGTTTACAATACGCCCGTGGTCAGTTGTTGTTCCAGGATAGCACAAAATAGTTATGATAAGCTATTTACCGAAATAGTGCTGTAAGTGGCGCCCTCTAGAAGTTTGGCCATAAAATATAACGGATTCTTGTTCTTCATACTGGACACCCTATGTCAATTCATATATTTTGGCCTGTAGCATCTCCAGTTTCGAAATTTTCCAACGTTTAGCAGACACCCTGTATAACGGTCATCGATAAGAAGGTGTGCTCCAACTCAGCTGAAACTGCTGTTTGCAATCCAAATAAACCTTCAGGATTCTAGGCAATTTCTGTCGAAGAACAGTACGAACTTACAGTGAAATGCAAACTGTCAAACTGGCGGCCTAAGCCTGATCAGCTTGTAGTAGAACTTGCATCCCGACTACTGAGCATGTAATTTCAGTGACCAATTAATCGTCAGCTTGTCGGTGATGGAGGCACACCTACTGGAGGGAGCTATTTGACCAAAAATGTTAATTTTCTAGCTCATAATTATTTCAGTTCAATCTGGAGTTGCTTAATTTTGTTTTGCTGTGCTACAGATCAAACTTGAACATAACATATTGTTTAAACTCTGATTTGGAATATCTAATGCCTTATAATTGTTATTGTAGATAGCAGTAGAGGGAGCCAGAATGTGGTGTAGAATGGCTAAAAAGTCCAAACAGCGTTTCTGCAAACGGAAACGGATCAGGAGAGTGAGATTTCGGTCTGGAAAACCTAGAAGCAGAAGAAGTAAAAGATGTTAACGTGTTGTCTCAGCTATGCAATTTGTTAATCAGTCTGGTCTGACAATATAGTAGAAACCTCTTCCAAACAATCATTTTATTTACTTCCACTAGGCGATGTCTACAAAAGTACCACATTTTGATTTCGTCTAATGTCTGATGTAACCAATGCTATATATAATCGTTTAGCAGTATTTAAAAAGTTGCAGATATGCAACAAACAACCAATTCTCAGTTTGAACGAGAAATTCGAGATTTTGTGAATCCGTTCTTCCAGTCAACATCAAAATCATGGAATATCGATATCTTGCCTCCTAAAAGTATGTCAATTTTACGATTCACTCCACTGCCTCAGAATGATGCTATGTAATTCGCGCCAGGGTTTGAGTGAGGACCGAAATTTCTATTTCACGGGTTACAGTGCAACTTGATGGATTTTGACATTATGAGGTGTTGTGGTATCTCATGATCGCCACCTTACCAACGGTTTGCCAGGTTGATTTTCATCCCCATCCCAAGCGATGAATTGAACTAAACTCAGACGACTTTATTGTAACAAATACATACAACCCAGTTACAAATGGCGGAGTCTGGCCAATGATCATTCATACTTAATCGTGTCATGAAGCTCATTACGACCTTAACCTAAAACCTAGCGTGAACCACAAAACCAGTGGGCTTAGATAATCCTGGTATCACTCCGACAGACACAAGACAAACATATGGTTGAAAGCGGAGGGGAAAAATAATTAAGCATGCTAGCATCGCGAGACACATCTGCGCATTTCCTAGGAAGTTCGCAGTTTACAAGCTGTTTTGTAAGTGCCCGAGCCATCGGAAAGCCCATAAAGTGTATAGCCTTGCATTTCTGCATTTTATTCTGATAATGGGGAAGCGCTACATAGGGGCACATAAACATAAACAAAAAGAGTGCTCGTAGGTCATTAACGTTTGTTCGATTATAAAGGTATGAATCTGATGATTTTAAAGTAATAAAATGATATATTTGACTGTGACAGAGATTCAAGACTTCAAGTAAATAACACCCGAAAGAGGTTTTTTGACAGAGATTTCTTCGGATCTGATTTTACATGTTTCAAATATATCCCTTTCAAATGTGACACCACTATATCAATGACCACCTGTCTGATCTCTCGATCCCAGTGGATTTATGGTCAAGATCCCAATAAACCTTCAGGCAGTGGCTATTTAGATCTTTGGTAACATAATTTCGACTTCATCGTTGATCAAATTCATATCTTTTATGTAAAATTTCATTAATAGTATTTATAATTAGAACTATCTCACTTCTTTGATCTCATACAGCTTATCTCATGTATTGTCACGTGCCAAATTCTTGTCACCTTTTTTTTACTATGTTAATCACTTATCAGTAATTTGAATGTCTCTTTATTAATGGTAGAGTGCCAGTTCATAGGATAAACCCTTTTTAATGATTTTCTTCTGGCAAATTTTAGTTTATTGATTATGATTCCACGCGTATTATATCTTTCTTTCTCAGCGATCCAGCATTGTGTTGAAATCTTTTGATCACTAATGTTATAGTATTATTAACGACTATCTAAGAAATTACCTCATAAAATATCGTTGATCCCTCGTAGAGTTGGTTCCGCTTATCGGAAACCAGCGCCACCTTGTAATTTCTGCACGTTCTAGCCGTATGGGAAAATTTGCTTACCTATCAAGGTACCTTCTTTTAAAAATCTGTATGGAATATTTGATTTCCTATCAAGATACCTCCTTTAAGAAACTTGAGTGAACAGACGAGACCGTGCCATTTTTTTTTCTTCTTCCCGTTGAGGTTTTGTTGTGCGGTCGTTTCGTTGGTAATAATTTTCAGATTCTGGGATAACGCCCCAAACACCAAATTGTGGAGTACCATCCTTTATTTTGTACCTTACGTTTAATTGTTTTGGTTTGGATGCTACCCCGTCCATTTTCTAATGGGATTTTAACCTTCAGCGTGGGAAAACATTTCGGAGAGCCACCATTCACACTCGTCCAGCTTTGTTTTGTAGCTGTTTCGCAGCCGGTTTCGCTTCACTACATATATCTCTAGTTCTCTTTCCATTCTCGATGAACTAATTCTTTGGATTGAACTTTAAATTTTTAATTAACTATCACAACCATTATAAGTTTAATTTTCTCCTTCATAGTTACTCATTTGGCAGATAGACTGACTAAACTAAACAACCACGTTTCTTCTTTCTTAAGTAACATGTTAGAGAGTTTATCCTTTAACTCTCGATTATCAGTGTTAAATCAAATTGACCTTGGTATGCGCTGACCTTCTCAGAATAAAATAGTAAATAGGTAACTCACACCTTTTTCTTAAATCTCTGCCACCTGTAAAATTAATATTCCGTCTGATTAACTTTTTTCTCAATGTTTATCTTGTATCACGACATATTGATGTCCTTCATTTAGATGACAGTCAAAGCCAAAACGTCAAATTCGATGTATTTACATTAAGAAATCAAAAGCTTATGATTTAGTGTCAAAAGCCTTAAGTCTAGTTGATTAGTTGCTCTTTGCTCATCGGCCATACTGGGCCCGATATTTTGCTTTTGAAATTTATTCACAAACTCATCGTCATCATTCAATTCTGCTTCTCAAACACTAATCATCTTTTTTCGGTTTAATTGTACTGCCAATTTTTATTTCATACTTTTCTCCTAATGTTAGTATTGCTACATTGTTCAATTTTACTAGTAATACTTTTATCTTCTACGTAAATGCCCTAATCTGCTCGTTTTGCGTGTGTTTTTTATAAGCGGCTATTTCTATGTCTGCAGGACTTGATTTTTGCTTTAGAACATTTTTTGTTTCAGTCCTAGTTTTGCTCGTCTTTTGGTTTAGCCCAACTGTTTTTCCTATAACATTTAACCACAGCAAATTATCTCTCACAGATTTTTACTTTTAATTAATTTTATTCATTTTGAAGATTTCTCCAGTAATTGATCAGTATCCTTTTCAGTTTCACGTTTTGATTAAAATGGCTTGCTTTCTTTTCTACAGCATCTATTTTTTTTTATATTGCTTAGACTTTCAGCAATCCTTTCTTTTTCCTTGAGATTTTGAGCAATCAAGTCATGATTTTCTTTCACCCTGGAGTTCTCATTTATAGGTTCTTGCGTTAATGAATCTTTACCAGCTAGTAAAATATCAGGATCCGAACAATATGAACATGTTTACTTAATATTCAGTGATTTTTCTGTGTTGGTACCATTTGTTTCATTGCTGTTCCATTGCATTATCATGCCTAGATTTTCTTTTATAAAAATCGCAAATCGGGTGAATCGGAAGGAAGCTACTGTAGTGAGATATTGTCTAGCGTGGTTTCACGAAGGCCGAAATCAACGAGTTAGAGGTACTGGACGTCAAAAACAGACTACAGAGCAACTAGCACTTAGAGATCTATTTTCCACAACAAGGGCAGTTGCAAACCAGTGGTTTGACGCTGTCGAAAGGGCAGTCGAAACAACAGTTTATCGCCGAATAAGGTCTTTTGGACTGTTTCCATACAGTACATATCTTGTACTACCTCTGACCCCACAGCATCGTCGGCAACGATGTGTATGGAGTAGGGAGAGAAATGAATGGCATATGGAACACTCAGTCGTGTTCAGCGATGAGTCCAGATTCTGTTTGGGCACACATGATGGCCGTGCAAGAGTAAGAAGCAGACGTGGTGAAAGACGGAACGTCCACTATTTCAACGAATGGCATATTCATCGCACTGTGGGTGTTAGGATATGGGGTGCCATTGCTTACGACAGCAGGTCACGATTAGTGCTTATTCGAGATAGCATAGCCCAGCGCTATATCCACGTACTCTTACAACCTAATCTCGTTTCCTTTTTGGAAACATTGCAAGATCCACTTTTTCAGCAGGACAATCCACGACCTCCAGATCTCCAGATCTCTCCCCCATCGAAAATATATGGGACATGATGGGAAGAAGGCTGCAAAAGTCACCGCATCCTCCACAAACATTAGAGGCTCTGCAAAATCAAATTCAGATGGCCTAGGGCACATCACTACAAGAAGACATCAATCACCTAATCCAATCAATGACGCGACGACTTAACGAATGTGTAGCGAACAGAGGAGCTTCAACACATTATTAACATTAAAGTGGGATGTCTCAGCGTTTTTGCGAAATTTCGAGTTAAAATGTTAATCACTTTCTATTTATCTGTAGACCTAAGACTTGTAAAAACTACAGCACTCCTAGTCGGTGTTGCATTGTCATTTAGTAGAATTATTGTTCTCTCCAATTATTATTTTTAGATCAATTTATCTTTGTTTTTGGCATTTGGATATACATTACGTATCTAGTCGATCCTTCTGAGCAGTGATCCGCTACTAGCAGTTTGATCTCCTTGTTCATCTGTCATGTACAATAAATTGCTTTCTTTCTAGATCCAAATTCTATATGCCTCGCAAAAATCGCTGCGCAATCTTTGAATAGTTTTTCAAGATAATTTTTTTGTTACTAAATTACAAAGAAGTCATTGTTTTCATAACGTAACCCTTAAAAGACTACCCCTTAGACTATCCAACTCGCTTCCAGTAACGGCAGCCGAATCGGGAGCACCCTGTATAAAGCCCTTCAGCATGCTGCCAGGCTCTATGGGGCCAGGAAATTTACCAAAGTACCCCGTTAAACCAGCAAAACTTTATACGCTGCGACTTCTATTACCTCCGAGTCGCGCTACTCCAGGAACTAACACTGACCTAAATAAGCTTGGCGTCTTTCCAGACTCGAGCATGTTTAATATTTTTCCAAATTACCACCGCATGGGTGAGCTGCTTCGCACATAATTAGCCTGCAAAATTGCTTATAACTTCAAAGAAGTTGCTCTTCAGTCTGCTTACGGGGAGGTAATTGCTTGACGCACGTTTTTAAATTATATTGCTCAAGTGGAACGTTACCGAGTTGATGTCATTTCAGCAGCGGGATAGGATATGCGGTTATAAAGAGAATGAGATGTAAACCCTATTTCACGAGTATCCATCATATTTTGACGTCTATTGAGGTGAACAACTAGTGTAATTTTTCACAGGG